AATTCAGTTAATGCACTTTTTTTTGGTTTGTGAGGCACTAACGCGAACAAAATAGGTGAACGCTGTACAAAGCCGTCATAGTTGCAGTGTTAATGCTATCTTCAAAGATCTGGTCCTAAATCAAGTCCACAACCACGAAGAACATTAGAACATTACCTGCGGCTGCTCACATATGGGACCGCGCATTACATAAAGCTTTAGTCATATAATTCATATAATAATCGAAACCTGGATGTTTATTTTTTTTTATTTATTTGTTGCTGAACTTTTAAAAGCCGTTAAATAAGAAAACTCTGCTTCTCTTCTTTTTTTTTTTGGTTTAATTGTTGTGCTGTAATCCTGAATTGTTTTATAGTTACAGATAGGCGACCAGACGGTGTCAATTCCTTGATGATGGGCAGAAACGTTGTAAACACTTTGCTTTATTTAATTACAAATTATCAGCCAAATGCAATTAGCAAAATTGAGGTTATGTTTGTAAACATCTGTTATATTTGGTAGGTTTTGCCATACTAATGAGCAACTCTTCCTGATAATATCTCGAGTGCTGGCATCTCTGTTATTGAAGTTGTATTTTCAGAAATTATTGCAAAAATATTAAAAGTTGTGTTTTTTTTTTCAAGATTATGGCTGAATCAGCGCAAGTAGAATCTACACCTTCGGTGCGTTTAACAAATGATGATTTCCGTAAATTGTTGGCCACACCACGGGCTCCACCTTCTGGAACTGGCGCGTTGGCTACAGCCAATTTTGCTACACCAGGAACGCCAGCATCTGTGACTGAAAAGAAGCGTAGCTCTCATGGCGGTAGTAGTGAGCGCGGGGATTTGCGCCGTAAAAAGAAAAATTTCTATGCTGCCCTTAAAAAACAAGAGGACAATAAGTTGCAAGAATTATCGGAAAAGTATCGCGACCGAGCCCGGGAACGTCGCGACGGTGCAAATCCAGATTATCAGAATGTTAGTACCCCGGGACATGGCAGTACTAATGCTTATCGGGCTGTAGCACCAGATCTAAAATCCGGTATAGATGCGGCCGAAAGAAGAAAACGTATTATTCAGGAATCAAAGTTTTTGGGTGGTGACATGGAGCACACTCACTTGGTGAAGGGGCTTGATTATGCTCTATTGCAGAAAGTGCGCTCCGAATTGCAAGTGAAAGAGCAAGAAGAAAGAGAAATGGCTGCAGCCGAGGCCTCTGAGAAATTAGCAGAAGCTGCCGCTGCTGAACGCCTGGAAGCTGAACGTCGTGAAGCAGAAGATACTATGGCTATAAAAGGTTCGATGGCGCGTAACATTTACAATCTAGTGCAAAGCAAACGTTCAAAGGAAATTCAGCGTATGGAGTTGTTTGCTCCAAGCCGTATGGCGTATGTAATTGATTTGGAAGATGATACTGGCGAAACGGATATACCTACCACATTGATAAGATCGAAATATGAAGTGCCAATTAATCGCGAAGATGCAGCCACTCTTACCACCAACGACATTGTAATTAATAAATTATCACAAATTCTCTCTTATTTAAGAGCCGGGGGCCGCAATAAAAAGAATAAAAAGCGCGATAAAGATAAACCATTATTCTATGATAAGGAGGTGGAGCAATTAACTTCAGCAGCGAAATTAATTAATAAAGCGCCAGTGGGTGACAGCATATACGACGATATCGGTGATTATCAACCTCTAGCGCAAAATGATAGCAAGTCATCAAAAGCGGATAAACACTATTCCGGTAATAGCAATGAAAAGCCACCAACTTATTTTGGAGATAAGCGTATAGAAGACGTTGAACCTGTTATTACTACGATACCACCTCCGCCTAAAATAACTAAATCGTCGATAGCTTCACGATTTACTAACGAACCCGAAGGCTATGCTGAATGTTATCCTGGGTTAGAGGAAATGAATGATGCCATTGATGATTCCGACGATGAAGTGGATTATACTAAAATGGATTTAGGCAATAAAAAAGGACCTATCGGGCGTTGGGATTTTGATACTCAAGAGGAGTATTCTGATTATATGAGCACTAAAGAAGCTTTACCGAAAGCCGCTTTTCAATATGGCGTTAAAATGGAAGATGGTCGCAAAACGCGAAAACATAAGACAGGTAAAAATGAGAAAGCGGAGTTAGATCGCGAGTGGCAAAAGATTCAGGCAAGTGTTAATCGCTTCTTCAATTTTATATTAAAATATTTTACGAAATCATTTTTGCAGGGCATAATACAAAAACGCAAAATCAAATCATCTAACGATGAGCCCGAATATAAGCAAATAAAATATTAAAATCCATTATCAAAATTAATTTGTGTGCAATGCTTCGTTATCAGCCAATATTAGGCCAGCTATAATAAGCAAAAGAATGAAGAAAGAAAAACAAATGCGAAAATGCTTAATATGGTGTTGGGGCAAAAGCTTGGGATGATTTGGATAAGGAGCCTTGGTTACGCTTTTATATATGTGTAATCCATTATTCTTTGTTTCCCTTTCGAAGAATGCACATTTGCCGAACTGTTGTTAAGTACTCCCCCCTTTGGAAGAATTATTTAAACATTTCACTTGAATTTTCTTTAAATGAATCCTACGCCGGCAATGTTTATAAAGTAAGAGCATCCATTAAGAGCATCTGGATTATTTAGTTATTACATTTATTATTGTATACAAATAAAATTATGTTTTTGTTCTATATTATGCATAAATGAAGATAATCTTAAAATGCCCCACGATTCATATTAATCTCTTCGAAGATGAGCGGACTTGATGTCTTCCGGCGTTGGCTGACATGCTCAGATCCTTTAAAAATAAAAAGTAAAAAAAAAAAATTGACAAAAAGAAAGTGAACAATACCGACATCCAAATTATTGCTTTTTTAGTTTACCATATCTAACCGTAATCGATAGATTCTAAATGGGATAACGTGCATGAAGTTGAGTTGTACCGATGACTAATAATCAGACTTTCTTCATTAAAACCAAGATTATTGGCAGCCTTAGCAGCCCTGGCTGTTTTCTTCCAGTTCTTCAAAAAGATTCATTATTATTATTATTTAAATAAATTCTTGGGCTAAAGCGTTTTGGGGCTATGAAGTCTATTAAAAAAGAAAATAATAGAAAATTGTTGTTAGTCTAATCGATATTAATATTGCGTTCTGCAGGTACTTTCAGAATGTCCGTCTATAGGACAGAAAAATATATCTGTTGTTGAGCTGATAGATGCATTGAACATATTAAATCGTACAACCGTACGATACATTCATAACTATCCTCACAGATAAATCACAATTATTTCTCGAAATTATTATACTTGGGATGTAATCTATGTATTAATCGATTCATGTGCCGTTGTTGCAATTTACGACGTGATCGATCAGCTTTCTTTATCGCCTCGTGGGCAATGCATGCCGCTTCATATGCCGCTTGTTTTGTATTCTTAAAATCTTGCTTGGTTACGACCAATTGCTGTTCAAGTTTTTCAATGCGATCGCGGATGGAATGGACACTTTCTTCTTTTTCTAGCATATCGGATTTTGCACCGTTGGCTGATTTCTTCGCATTTTCTACGTTGATTTTAGCCGCTTGCACGGCATCTGAAAAAGTGCTTAACTGAGCTTTCGCCTGTTGCAGTGTTTTAAAAGCAATATTGACCGTCTTTTGAGCATTGTGTAAAGAATTGGTTTCTTCGGCTACGATCTTTTCGCTATCGTGCAACTGTTGCTCCAATTCCTTAACGATTTTTATTTTATTTTCTAAAGCGCCTTCAGCATCTTTAGCGGCCGCTATTGCTCGATCGGCCAGTTGGGATTTCACTTTTTTGGCAGCAGCTGCGCCGGCTAATTTCTGTGCTTTCGAGGCGTCTATTCGATCCTGGAATGCGTTCTGAGCCACGTTCTTTCGGAGTTTGCCCAGTCGAGCATTGTTAACTAATGCGGCAACTTGTGGATCAATGATTACGCCTTCTTCGCCGTCGTCTAAAAAATTTGTAAATGGATCGGTCGACATCTTTTCTTGTTCGTACTAAACTAACGAATATGATGCAGAAAGAACATGAAAAAAGGGATGAATAGATTATATAAAAATACATTACATTCTTATTCTGATCAATCTTGTAACCGAAACTCGTAAATATCAAAAAACATAAAATGTAAGGGAAAAAATTCATTACATCGAAAATATTTTCAATTTTTTAAATTTATGTCAAGCGAACGAACAATTGCCGAAAAAGAGGATCTGTTTGTTTAGAAAAGAAAAAACAAAACAAAAGAGATATAATGTCATTAATTTATAGAACAAAATTGGCTATTTTTGCTTTGTACCGTTCTCCGCCCATCTATAGCCTTAATTCGAGAAAAAAAAAAACAGAGTTGCAATTTCTATTAGTTTTGCCAAATATTTATTTGGCATTGTATCTGCTCTTCCGATCTTCCATGAAAATGTGCGAACGACCTTAGAAGTTGAATAGGGACTTGACTTATAGATTATATATAATAGTATAGCACACCTTTATATAAATCGATACATCTGTTCACACTGCTTCTGGCCTGAGAATGAATGTCGTTATATCTCCCCAGAGATATGAAAATCGACTAACCGCCCTCAAATTCAGTTAATGCACTTTTTTTTGGTTTGTGAGGCACTAACGCGAACAAAATAGGTGAACGCTGTACAAAGCCGTCATAGTTGCAGTGTTAATGCTATCTTCAAAGATCTGGTCCTAAATCAAGTCCACAACCACGAAGAACATTAGAACATTACCTGCGGCTGCTCACATATGGGACCGCGCATTACATAAAGCTTTAGTCATATAATTCATATAATAATCGAAACCTGGATGTTTATTTTTTTTTATTTATTTGTTGCTGAACTTTTAAAAGCCGTTAAATAAGAAAACTCTGCTTCTCTTCTTTTTTTTTTTGGTTTAATTGTTGTGCTGTAATCCTGAATTGTTTTATAGTTACAGATAGGCGACCAGACGGTGTCAATTCCTTGATGATGGGCAGAAACGTTGTAAACACTTTGCTTTATTTAATTACAAATTATCAGCCAAATGCAATTAGCAAAATTGAGGTTATGTTTGTAAACATCTGTTATATTTGGTAGGTTTTGCCATACTAATGAGCAACTCTTCCTGATAATATCTCGAGTGCTGGCATCTCTGTTATTGAAGTTGTATTTTCAGAAATTATTGCAAAAATATTAAAAGTTGTGTTTTTTTTTTCAAGATTATGGCTGAATCAGCGCAAGTAGAATCTACACCTTCGGTGCGTTTAACAAATGATGATTTCCGTAAATTGTTGGCCACACCACGGGCTCCACCTTCTGGAACTGGCGCGTTGGCTACAGCCAATTTTGCTACACCAGGAACGCCAGCATCTGTGACTGAAAAGAAGCGTAGCTCTCATGGCGGTAGTAGTGAGCGCGGGGATTTGCGCCGTAAAAAGAAAAATTTCTATGCTGCCCTTAAAAAACAAGAGGACAATAAGTTGCAAGAATTATCGGAAAAGTATCGCGACCGAGCCCGGGAACGTCGCGACGGTGCAAATCCAGATTATCAGAATGTTAGTACCCCGGGACATGGCAGTACTAATGCTTATCGGGCTGTAGCACCAGATCTAAAATCCGGTATAGATGCGGCCGAAAGAAGAAAACGTATTATTCAGGAATCAAAGTTTTTGGGTGGTGACATGGAGCACACTCACTTGGTGAAGGGGCTTGATTATGCTCTATTGCAGAAAGTGCGCTCCGAATTGCAAGTGAAAGAGCAAGAAGAAAGAGAAATGGCTGCAGCCGAGGCCTCTGAGAAATTAGCAGAAGCTGCCGCTGCTGAACGCCTGGAAGCTGAACGTCGTGAAGCAGAAGATACTATGGCTATAAAAGGTTCGATGGCGCGTAACATTTACAATCTAGTGCAAAGCAAACGTTCAAAGGAAATTCAGCGTATGGAGTTGTTTGCTCCAAGCCGTATGGCGTATGTAATTGATTTGGAAGATGATACTGGCGAAACGGATATACCTACCACATTGATAAGATCGAAATATGAAGTGCCAATTAATCGCGAAGATGCAGCCACTCTTACCACCAACGACATTGTAATTAATAAATTATCACAAATTCTCTCTTATTTAAGAGCCGGGGGCCGCAATAAAAAGAATAAAAAGCGCGATAAAGATAAACCATTATTCTATGATAAGGAGGTGGAGCAATTAACTTCAGCAGCGAAATTAATTAATAAAGCGCCAGTGGGTGACAGCATATACGACGATATCGGTGATTATCAACCTCTAGCGCAAAATGATAGCAAGTCATCAAAAGCGGATAAACACTATTCCGGTAATAGCAATGAAAAGCCACCAACTTATTTTGGAGATAAGCGTATAGAAGACGTTGAACCTGTTATTACTACGATACCACCTCCGCCTAAAATAACTAAATCGTCGATAGCTTCACGATTTACTAACGAACCCGAAGGCTATGCTGAATGTTATCCTGGGTTAGAGGAAATGAATGATGCCATTGATGATTCCGACGATGAAGTGGATTATACTAAAATGGATTTAGGCAATAAAAAAGGACCTATCGGGCGTTGGGATTTTGATACTCAAGAGGAGTATTCTGATTATATGAGCACTAAAGAAGCTTTACCGAAAGCCGCTTTTCAATATGGCGTTAAAATGGAAGATGGTCGCAAAACGCGAAAACATAAGACAGGTAAAAATGAGAAAGCGGAGTTAGATCGCGAGTGGCAAAAGATTCAGGCAAGTGTTAATCGCTTCTTCAATTTTATATTAAAATATTTTACGAAATCATTTTTGCAGGGCATAATACAAAAACGCAAAATCAAATCATCTAACGATGAGCCCGAATATAAGCAAATAAAATATTAAAATCCATTATCAAAATTAATTTGTGTGCAATGCTTCGTTATCAGCCAATATTAGGCCAGCTATAATAAGCAAAAGAATGAAGAAAGAAAAACAAATGCGAAAATGCTTAATATGGTGTTGGGGCAAAAGCTTGGGATGATTTGGATAAGGAGCCTTGGTTACGCTTTTATATATGTGTAATCCATTATTCTTTGTTTCCCTTTCGAAGAATGCACATTTGCCGAACTGTTGTTAAGTACTCCCCCCTTTGGAAGAATTATTTAAACATTTCACTTGAATTTTCTTTAAATGAATCCTACGCCGGCAATGTTTATAAAGTAAGAGCATCCATTAAGAGCATCTGGATTATTTAGTTATTACATTTATTATTGTATACAAATAAAATTATGTTTTTGTTCTATATTATGCATAAATGAAGATAATCTTAAAATGCCCCACGATTCATATTAATCTCTTCGAAGATGAGCGGACTTGATGTCTTCCGGCGTTGGCTGACATGCTCAGATCCTTTAAAAATAAAAAGTAAAAAAAAAAAATTGACAAAAAGAAAGTGAACAATACCGACATCCAAATTATTGCTTTTTTAGTTTACCATATCTAACCGTAATCGATAGATTCTAAATGGGATAACGTGCATGAAGTTGAGTTGTACCGATGACTAATAATCAGACTTTCTTCATTAAAACCAAGATTATTGGCAGCCTTAGCAGCCCTGGCTGTTTTCTTCCAGTTCTTCAAAAAGATTCATTATTATTATTATTTAAATAAATTCTTGGGCTAAAGCGTTTTG